CAGCCAGCTAGCAGCTGTCTGCAGACAGACTGATGCCTTGTCAGGAAACGCAGACAGCAGGGGATGAACTGTGTGTATATCTGCTGAAACAGATTTTCAAACTGGAGGTGGGTTTTCTACTTGATTGAAGCATCTGGATGGACTGTGTACTTGTTGGATAACCTTTTGTTTTAGTTTTTAAACCTGAGTAACCACGTGCACCTTGCTGGTGGTGCAGGTCTGTCTGAAGGTATGCTAGAGATAGGGCAGCTTTCCTCATAGTGGGCAGGTGGCAATAACATTATAAAACTCTATTTTTACTTAATATATTTTCCCTTTCTTGAAGAAGTAATGAAAGGTGACAGCATATATATTTTTCAAATGTAGGCCACATCATACTGTGACTGTGAAACACACGTATAGAAAGTAGATCCTCGTAATGGCAGTTAGTAAATAATAATATAAATAGCTATGTAAACTGTATGGCTGCCATCTAATTCTCCCTTATCTACAGTAATTTCCCCACCCACCTGGGAGTGAGGGGTGTCAATCTGGAGCTGTCGATCATATTACACCATCTTCTGAACCACATGGGTTTTTTCCCAGTTCTTGTGGAAATGTTGATGCACAGATTCCCATTTTTGTGAGCACGTTAGGACTTTAGAGTTGAGGCTGATCATGTGCTCTGGATCCTGGCAGCAGAAACATGGGGATGCCCTGCCAGCGGTGTGTTCATTGACCCTGAAACACTGAAGTGGGCAGGTACTGTGATGGGGTACTGAATGAGCTATTGTGTGCGTGTTGTACAAATGAAACGAGCACATCGCGTCCACTTGCAGTGATGGATTATTATTGTGTGAAGTGTGTTGGAGTCACACAGAGACAGGAGGACTGACCGGCGGTGATTTGTTTGTGTGCTGCGTTTAGTGTTGCTGCTACTAATATCAGACGGTGACTTGTGTGTGTTTGCTGCTCCATTTCGGAGCTCTCACTCCTCCTGGGTCTGTCGCGGTCTAACGAAAATCTGGCAGATTAATTGGTAATGATAAATTGTACTTAACAGCAGTAATGTAATATTGACTAAATTAGTTGCTGAATGGACATTTACAGTGATGAATTGCATGATATAAATCCAAGGGTCTGCTCATTTGTTTTTAT